GGACCCGTCATTAGGTCATCACCGACCAGTATGGTCTCCTCCATCATTGGTTGAGAATCAACTGAAAATTTGAAATCACCAATGTTACAGTTCTCATTCAGCTGACAAAAATGGCCTTAGTATTCAAAAACTGTTATCACTATGCATTATAAAACAACTCAAATTCAGTTTTCCAAAAAAAAAAAAAGAGATTCAATTTCCATGTAAAGATGGTAATGGTGATGCAGATTGAGGGTTCAACAAGTTATACTAAGAAATTTTATATCATATGAACAAAATAGCAACGAACATAACTTGATAGCACTTTCACCCTCAAACAGCCAATGCGTTTGTAAAAATTGGGTTTCCTTTCATGATAATTAAACTGCCAAACAATGTCGGTTTCTTAAGTTTCCAATCTAATTCACCATTTCCCAAAATGCAACACAAAGATATGTGAAGAAAGGGCCTTTCTTGAAGCACAATTGCATAAGAATCATTCACTCACCATCCATGACGGCTCCGTATCAAATCACTTCAAGGACTGAAGAACAGACCAACCTGGGAACCCTGAACATTCATATTAACAACAACAAAAACAATCATCAAAACGGAGGAAAATTGTAAGAATATCTCACTCAGGCATTTCGTCGAACAGTTTGAAGGCATAAGAAATACATACTCGTTTGAAAACCTCGAAAAGATTCTTCCAGGAATCAAGCCGAAAGTATCTAGCGAATTCCAAGTAATAATTTGACAACAAAAGGAAATAATCCGACGGAGCCAATCAAAGAAAAGTCCCTCTTCTCAGGGACAAAGACTACGAGACTGTTGTTTTGTTTAGTGGCTAAAAAGGTCTTTTGCTTCGAGAGCTCATATCTAATTTATGAAATACAACGTCGTTTTATACAAATTAGAATTTAGGCGATAATTAACAAATTGATTAACTGTATTTTTTACAACCACCTCAAAGACAAGACAACAACTGTCTTCTTTTGTCTGTATATAAGTTATTGTCCCTAAGTTTGATGTGTCAAATGAATTATCACTCAAAATCTAGTAGAGGTTTCTTGGAACGAGCAGCAAATTTCGGTTCTTTCTGCTCTGTTACACTAAGAAGAGCTTTGCGCCGAGCTTCAGCGCTTTCCAAGTACTCTTGTATTGGAGGGAGAGTGATCTTTCGTTCTTCTCCACCCGCTTTTGCTCGACGAATCAACTGTCCAACAATATATAAAGGTTAATGATTTACAATAGTGTCACATTTAGCCAAGTGTAGAAGACGAAATTCGGTTTTAACCTTTGAAGCCCAGGTTCGTTCTGCTCCTTGACATACATCTCGAATATCCCTGCCTGACATTCTGCATAACCAATCAAAACCGCAAGAAAAGATAAAAGTCGGTATGGATTCGTTAATGACTAATCGGGAACAGAAAAATTGGGTGGTCTTGAAGAAGATAGAACAAAAAGTTCAGAATTTTAGTATGATATGTTAACAGAAAGTTATAAACTTTACGCTTCTGTGGCCTGAGCAAGTTGGACTAGCTCAGGCTTTGAGAGTTGCTTTGCATATTGGGTGATGATTTCTTGACGGGTTTGTAAGTCCGGTAAGTCAAACATGATCATGGAATCGAACCGGCTAAGATGTACAGATGAAAAACATAGGATACAGGTCAGGATACTACACCCACGAATTGAACTGGTATTTAAGAGATTTTATTGCTTACCTGATCAAAGCGGGATCAAGATCTTGTTTTCTATTGGTTGCAGCAATCACAACCACTTTTTTGTCTTGTTCAAATCCATCAATCTGCAAAAACATAGAAGCAGATTCATCACACTGGTAATAACTAGTCTCCCATCTCGTGGATATGTGATATTGGCAATTTTATGTGTTACCTGCCTTAGTAGTACCGACAAAACTCTACGCGTTGCTTCATGCATCTCACTATCACGAGAGATAGCAAATGCATCAATCTGGATTGTGAGTTAGACAAGTAAATTATTTAATCATATTCAAATTTTGAGAGGAAAAGTCAGACAAGAATATTAAAGAAGCAATCTTTTCTTCACCTCATCAAGAAATATAATCGCACCATCAGGGAGCTCATTTGCTTGTGAAAACACATCCCCAAGAAGCCGCTCGCTTTCACCATAGTACTTAGACATTACAGCTTCAAGCGGCACATACAACAACGGTATGCCCTGAAAAAAATCACAAAAAGTTACAGTTCAATATTCAAAAAAAATCGAAAGGTCAAAAAGGGCCTGTAAGTTCTAGACTACTCACCGCCTGATTAGCAATAACACGCGCACAAGATGTCTTCCCAGTTCCTAAGGTTAGAGTTTATGGACATCAGATTCAAATTTGTTTCTACAAAGAAGGACGAAATTGCAAATGAACTCTTCTTGCGCTAACCTGGTGGACCCTCAAATAGAACAGCCCGAGGTCTGTTTGATTCAAATTTGGACCGTGTACCACGTACTATATCATCATACACTTCAGGACTATGAAGGGCCATCAATATTGTATCTTCTATCTCTCTGCATCATGATAGAAGCTAATACATCATATATCATATTAATGGGATACAAGAGCAAAGATGTAACCAAAGCTTACCGCTTTTGCTGATCATATCCAGCAATATTGTCCCATGATATATCATCAATAGAATCATCCCCAAGAGGTTTATTAACTCCATAGATTCTCACTCCCATAGACTCCAATTGAGAGATAGATTTGTCGGTAGACGATTCACGAGCGCTACCTCTAACTCCACCTCCCTTGTTTTGTCCAGCTTTTGTTCCAGCTACTCGCAAAGCTGAAACAAAAGCCTCAAGTTCTTCAGTGGTCAAACTTCCCTTCTTTATAAACTCAACTTCCTAACACATTTTGGAGCACATTAAGGTTATATTATAAAAAAAAAAAAAACCAAGAACATTTGACGATTGAGTGAATATTCGAAAGAGAATTGAAACTTACCACTTTATCCGAGGTAAGTAAGGAACCGAAGATAAGAATGCACAAGTCATCATCTGAATCATCTTCACTCTCTCCTAGTTTCTTCTTGTTTTCCACACTGCGAAGTGTTATTTGCCAAGCGACTGGACTGAAGTAACAAGAAAGGAGTAGCGATTAACTTTATATTATACGTCATCAGGCTTCCAATATTGGTTCTTGGAGAAAATTTAGTAGAGCAAGAAATTACTTGTCCCAAGCACGCAATAGCATATCTGAACCACCAGTGCGATCTGAGACTTTCACACCTAGTTGGGATCCAATGTTTGATATCAACTGTGCGACTTCGCAAGTAGAAGGAACTTGGAACTTCAAGGTAATCTAAAACATAGAACAAAGTTTTGTATCATCGAAATTATTTATCAAGAAACACTCGAAGTAAGTCATATCACAGAAAAAAAAAAAAAGAGAGAGAGATCATTGCGAAAACCTTTTGACCCCTGACAGCAACATTGAACCGTGGGTAAGAACCATATTGAGTTCCTTTACTTGATATCAGTTCTTCAATTCGAGCTCGTTCTTTCTTGGCAATATCTACATAGTTTGGTGGAGGATCTATCGGGGCAGATGACTTGTCATTAGTAGCCTTCAAGAAGGTAAGTTTTAAACTAGAATCAGTAAAACTAACAACACCAATGATTCAATTTTGATGTTTTTGTGTTGAGTTACAAAACCTCATCAGATTCAGCATAAGCTACTCCTATAGCTCCAACACTGAAGAGAGCACCCAAAACTGCAGGTGCTATGGAAAAGTATGGAGACTCGTTTATGGTGCTGCAAGATCTCAAGACTTGATTTACTTTTGAATTGCTCTGATCAAAGGTTCCTGCAATATCAAAGACCAAACTTTTACTAAGAGACAAAGAATCTACTAGAAAGAACTCGTAGCGTTTCTTGATCATAAGTACAACACCAAAAAAATCAAAATTCAAGAAATGAAGATATGAAAATTGGGGGTTTTAATGTAAGGGATCATATGAAAAATAGCTTCTTGTGCTCTCAATTCCTCGAAAGTCCCAATTTTTAAACCAATCACCAATTCATACAACCAAATGGGTTCAATTGAAACCCACCAAGAATCATGGTATCACCAAATTATAAATAATTTACAAATTCTTGAATCAATAGAATACCGCTATAGAAACAGCGATGAAGCTCTCGTGCCCGTGGTTGCGATGGAGCCACGGATTTAGAATGAGAGAGTGATCCGCGCCATGCTCGAGATGCTCGAAACAATTTGTCCAGAACCGCCATTGGAGTAGTTTTACACAATTTCTCGAGCTTCAAGGGGTTTATGAGGTTTTTTGAGGATCCGACCGTATTAAAGTTGTTTATGTGATTCACAGAGAAAACCAACCGGTTCTCTTTGAAGAACCAAAACACCTCAAATCTTTCTTTTCAAAACTTCAAAACACCAAACACCAAATTGTATTTTCAAAAATTTATTTTTTAAGAGCCCCAATGAAATTCAGAAACTTTGAAATTGTGAAAATTTAAAATTAAACTTTGAAATTTTCAATTGAAAGCTAATTTGGTTGAACATATATGGCAAAAATTTCGCAATAATTAACAGTACAACTAATCGTTATTCCGGTTTTGTTTTTGCACATCTTTATTTAAAATGTTTGAAAATAATATATGTTTAATATTTTTATGAATTGCAATAATTATTGTTTTATAAAATAAATTTTTTAGTAATTTTTTTTTTTAAGAGAACCCCATTAGAGAACCTACTATTAGACTAAGAAATTTTTTTAAAAAATACAAAAGTTCTCATCTTAAATTTTTTAAAAAATTTATATTAAAAATATTAAAAGAGTCCTATGGTGAGAGCTCCCCATTGGAAATGCTCTAATATGATCGTGTGAGCACCTCTTGACCTTCTAAATCTTTAACTCACACAACTACGTATTTTCTTCGTCAACATTTGTTTTACTTGCAAAGAAAGGATCTATTTTTTTTTTTAGCGTTTTATATGTTTCAATGTTTTGTTATTATGTTTGTTTTATGTTCCTATCTATGGGAAAAAGATTTTATCAAACAAAAACAAATCAAAACACTAATTTCAAAGATTTGCAAGCTTGAGAACACAAAGGAAGTAAAATCCCATGAAAATGATAATACAGAGTACAAGGGTTTGAGAAAGTGATGAAACACTAAACACAGTAACTACCAATCACCATATAGCCTTCACTATGGCCACCAGGGCCGGCCCATGGGTAAAGCCCATGAAGCAAGGGCTTTAGGCATCAAATAATTATAAGTAGTTTTAAGGGCATCAATTTTTAAAATGTTACTGTGGTCTAGTGGTTAGATTGAAGTCTTTTGTTGTACAGGTCACGGTTTCTTATCCCATACATGTTAAAACTTGTATTTTTTTTTTATAACAGCTTTTGTTAATAGGCCAAAAAATTTTTTGCTTTAGGCACTCAAATAGTTTGGGCCGGCCCTGATCGCCACAGTAAGACTTGGGTGTTCAACGACGAAATCCTTGAAATCGGTAGATTTAAAAATTGTACTTTTGTTGGTTCTGATAGTAGTGAAGGCAGCATCACTGAGGACTTGGTCAAAATGTGTTTGGGCGAGCTCAAAAACTTGAAGAGCATTCGAAGAGTTGAGAGATGTTATAAGCTCGTTTCTGCATAGGTCGCGTAGATGTGGAATCTTATATTTGACGGCTGCACGATAGAGTGGCCTAAGATGATGCTTCGCTTTCTCTGAAAGCACAGAGCCGTCACTGTAGATGAACTCAACGAAAGCCTCTAACTCTTCTTGTTTCATCTCTGAGAGAGTCACTGTCTCCAGCATGGACGAAGACTTGCATTTGTCTGATTCAAACATCCTCTTAAACACCTCTGATCTTGCAGACTACAAAAATTCCAAATATATGTGGAAAGATCATTAGTAATGAAACATTTCATGTAAGAGCATTTCTAGGAATTAGTTTACTGAATCATATGAATGATAAAAGCAAAAAGAGTACTAGAAGAAGAAGAAGTGGGAACCAGAATAAGCTTATGGCCAGAGATAGCTGCGTCCTTATCACTGTCCCATGCCTTAAGCCGTACATCGACTTCTTGTTCTTTTAGAACCCTTACAAATCCATCGAAGAAAATATCTTTGTTTGTTTTTGTCCCCATAGCTTAAGCATATATCTTGGATTTAATCTCTGGCAAATGATTGTAGGTGTTATATATAGAGAGACTTAGAGAGCCTCTATATAGATGGTCAAAATTACTCTTTAATTACTTTTACTTTCGTTTTCAAAGACTTTTTTGGAAATGAAAGGAGACTACAATTTGAGCTCTTCTTTGGGTAATTAATTTTATTAAACAAAACGGATGTTTCATCAATGACCACTCAGCAATTCTTACAAATAATCATATTTACGCTATTCTTATTTCCAACAACTTTCTATGCAAATGAAATAAGCAAATCAATAAATATAAATTGGTATGAACTGTTCGAGTTGTAACATGTAATATTTAACAATTATACAAACGTACATCAACAAAAAGAAAAATTCATCCTTACGAGACGATGGATTTTAAAACCAATAAAATTTTGATCAGTTTTAACGGTTCAACTCAAATCCAGGTTTTGATTCAACACGGACTCGGCTAGATGTACCAAACGATGCATCCCCACAGAATCCCCTTTTACATGTATGAGAGATTTATCAACTAGGTTTTTCAGCCCTATATTAACATCCAAATCACTATCTGCGAGACTATTTTGATGTAATCGATTTTCGCACCATTGAAGAGACATGCGATGTGACGAAATATCGCTTTACCTTTTTTGCTACCTAATATTAGGGACCTATAATGTAAATATATTATACTTAGGCTAATATGTTAATTTCCCTAAGTATGTTTAGGGTTTCATGTATAGGATGTATATATAGCTTTTTTCAATGTCAATAGAACACAACTTTTCTCTTTATTCTCTTATCCCTTTGGCATGGTATCAGAGCAAGGGTTTTAAGAAGAAAATCAAACAAAGGGAAAAGAAGAGAAGATGGCTGACGTTGACGGGAAAGAGGTTGCTCCAGTGAAGACTGCGGAAGGCGGCGGCGGGAGTGGACTCACGGTGGCGGAGAAGGCTAGGGCCTCTCCACTTTATCTCCATCCTTCTGATGGACCGGGTAATGTGATTACTACTGTTCAATTAAAGGGAGAAAAATATGAAGATTTGGCTAAGCATGTGCGGAACGCCTTGCGAACGAAACGGAAATTAGGGTTTATTGATGGGACCTTGAAGAAACCTACCAAGGATGATGAGATTGAACAGTGGGAAGTGGTTAATTCTATGTTGATCGCTTGGATTATGAACACGATTGAGCCGACTCTCAGGACATCAATTTCTACGGTGGATGAAGCTCAAGCGTTGTGGGAAGATTTGAAGCTTCAATTCTCTGCGGGAAACGGGCCAAGAATCAGTGAGCTTCGGGCTGATATAGCAAACTGTAGGCAAAACGGAGATACGGTAATGGTGTACTATGGGAGACTTAAGAAGATGTGGGATGAATTGGCAATTTACAAGCCTATTCGATCATGTAGTTGTGGAGAACTGGCTGCTCAGTTGGAAGAAGACCGTAATGAAGAGAGAACCAATACCTTCTTGAATGGTTTAGATTCTGCGAAGTTTGGTACGGTGCGTTCTACTATCACAAGTATGGAACCACTACCCAAGCTCTCACAAGTCTATCAAAGGATCATTCGAGAAGAGAGACAACTCACGATTACTAGAAATCGTGATGCCACTCCGGAGGCTGTGGGGTTTGCGGTCCAGGCTGCACAACGGGGTCAAACTTCCAATTTTTATCGCGAGAAGGACGTGACATGTACTCATTGTGGTAAGTATGGGCATGCAAAGGCTGATTGCTTTCAGATAATTGGCCTTCCTGAATGGTGGGGAGAACGAGGTCGTGACTACAATGATCGCGGTAGAGGTGGACGTGGACGTGGAGGACGTGGTGGCCGGTTTGGACGTGGTCGCGGGTCCGGTGGTAGGGCTAACGCGGTCACGGGTGTTCAGGCAAATATTGTTGGGGGAATACAAGCTAATTCAACAAGAACACCGGCTGATTTGGATCGTCAATCTCTACCACAAATGAGTGATAATCAATGGAATACTCTCAAGGGTCTCTTTGCTTCTCAAAAGTCAAATCCTAATGAAAAGCTGAATGGTAAGAAAGAATGTGTTGATTTTATTATTGATACAGGAGCATCAGACCACATGACTGGTAATTTAGATTATTTGTCTAATGTGATGAATACCAATCCATGTATGATCGGTCTACCGGATGGTGATCATGTGGTGTCCACCCAACATGGTGATATATGTCTCGGGGGTGATTTGTGGCTACAAGGAGTTTTGTACTCTAAGGATTTAACATGCTCCTTAATTTCGGTTGCAAAATTGTTGAAAGTGGTTAAGGGTTCTATTACATTCACTAATGAGTTGTGTGTTATACAGGACCGGGCTATGAAGACGCTGATTGGGGTTGGTGAAGAGTGTGGGGACGTGTACGTGCTTCGAGGGGTGATTGGTGCGAAGATACACAAGACTGTGAGCAGTTCAGGATCATGGGATTTATGGCATCGTCGTCTTGGTCATCCGTCTAGTCATGTTGTTCCCTATTTATCGAGTTATTTAGATATTGGAAAGCAAGTTAGTTCCACAACAGTTTGTGATATTTGTTTACGGGCTAAACAAACCCGGGATTGTTTTCATGAAAGTTCTAATAAAGCTGCTGGAATTTTTGATTTGATTCATTGTGATCTCTGGGATCCGTATCGAATAGTATCTACTTTGGGTGCTGCGTATTTTCTGACAATAGTAGATGATTATTCGAGAGCGGTTTGGGTGCACATGTTACGGGAAAAGAGTGAAGTCGGTGTAACTCTTAAGAATTTTTTCAAAATGGTGGAACGACAGTTTGAGAAGAAGGTGAAAGTAGTACGTAGTGATAATGGCAGGGAATTTATGGGTTTGCGATCGTACTTCCTGGAAGAGGGAATCATGCATCAAACGTCGTGTATCTATACTCCTCAACAAAATGGTAGAGTGGAGAGAAAGCATAGACATATATTGAATGTTGCTAGATCGTTGATGTTTCAAGCTACCTTACCACATCATTTTTGGGGTGAGTGTGTTATGACTGCATGTCATTTGATTAATCGAACTCCATCCACTGTTTTGCAAGGAAAGACACCCTATCAGCTGTTGTTTGGGGAAGTACCTAATATCACTCACTTACGAGTCTTTGGTAGCTTATGCTTTGCTCGTAATGTTTTGCGGGATAAAGATAAGTTTGGGGAACGAAGTAGACGGTGTGTTTTTATGGGGTATCCATTTGGTCATAAGGGATAGCGTGTGTATGATTTGGAGAAGTTGGAATTCTTTGTTTCTCGGGATGTGGTGTTTCAAGAAGATGAATTCCCATATCAGTTGTCGGAACAGTGATCGATCGATCCACAGCCAGGATCGATCGATCCCGCATAGTTTGAAGATGATCAGTTTTGACCAGAGACGACTAGATCGATCGATCTGGCACGTGGATCGATCGATCCCGAGTTACTGACATTTGATGAGTTGACGGACCAAACGGGATCGATCGATCCGGCACGTAGATCGATCGATCCCAAGCTACTGACATGTGACAAGCTTGGACCCGAGACAGAGCGATCGATCAATCCCCCGCCTAGATCGATCGATTCAGAGAAAATTACTGAGACATCAGCCACTAACGAATCAATCGATCCGGCACCAGGATCTATCGATCCAGCATCCAGCTCGTATGGTGTTCATATTACGGGGTCCAAAGATAATAAAAAGACTTCAGATACTGCTTTGGAGGAAAGGGGGAGTCAATTAGGGAATGATAATCTGACTAGTGAAGGGATTAAAGTTAGACAAAGCGAACGGGAAAGAAAACCTCCGGCTCATCTAAGTGATTATGTACTACATACTACACGTTGCTCAGTTGAACATCCCACACTCTCACCGGCACCCACTCAATCAGCGTCCTCTGCTCCAGGTACGGTCCTCTATCCCATTGCTAATTATGTGAGTTGTGACCGATTTTCTGATTCACAGAGAGCTTTTCTTGCGGCCATTACTGCTGTTTCGGTTCCTAAGTCATACTCGGAAGCCGTTAAGGATGAGAAATGGTACAATGCGATGTCTGGAGAGGTGAATGCTTTGGAAGCAAATGACACTTGGGATATTACCGATCTTCCGCCAGGAAAGAAAGCTATTGGCAGTCATTGGATCTTTACTATCAAGTATAAGTCGAATGGGGAAATTGAGCGTTACAAGGCTCGTTTGGTGGCCATGGGAAATCGACAGGTCGAGGGGTTAGATTTTGATGAGACATTTGCTCATGTTGTGAAAATGACAACTATTCGCGAGTTTCTTAAGATTGCGGCTGTCAAAGGATGTGAAGTACATCAGATGGATGTTCATAATGCGTTTCTACATGGGGATCTTGAGGAAGAAGTTTATATGAGATTACCTCCTGGCTTTGTTTCTCAAGATAAATCAAAAGTTTGTCGCCTTAAGAAATCTTTATATGGTCTACGTCAAGCACCACGGTGTTGGTTTGCTAAGCTTGCAGCAGCACTAAAAGGGTATGGGTTTGCTCAGCAGGTAGCCGATTACTCTCTTTTTACCTTGGAGCGTGGATCTATGCAACTCTTTTTGTTGGTCTATGTTGATGATTTGTTGATTGGGGGAAATGATCTTAATGGTGTTCAGGAGTTTAAGGAATACCTTAGTGAATGTTTTCATATGAAGGACTTGGGGGCTATGAAATATTTTTTGGGCATTGAAGTATCTTGGTCTCATGATGGTTTTTACTTGTCGCAAAGGAAGTATGCTTTGGATATTGTAAGTGAATGTGGGTTGTTGGGATGTCAACCAGTGTCTACTCCGCTTGAGCAAAACCATAAGTTGCCGGATGATGAAGGAGAGTTCTATGAGGATGTCGAGAGGTATAGGAGGCTTGTTGGGCGTTTGGTATATCTTACTTTTACCCGACCAGATTTGTCCTATGTTGTATATATGTTAGTTCAATTTATGCAACAACCACATGCCAAGCATTGGGCTGCAGTTATACGGGTTGTCAGATATCTTAAAGGCTGTCCGGGTCAAGGTATTGTGTTAAGTTCTGATCCTGATTCACAATTGACAGCTTATTGTGATTCAGATTTTTCTACATGTTCCATGTCTCGGAGATCGGTTACAGGATTTATTGTTATGTTGGGTGATTCTCCGATTGCTTGGAAGACAAAGAAACAAGATGTGGTATCATTTTCTTCTGCAGAGGCTGAATATCGTGCAATGAGTTTTACTACTCGAGAGTTGAAATGGAATCGTGAGCTTTTAGGATGCTTTGGAGTGTCTCATCCGCAGGCGATGCGTTTGTTTTGTGACAATAAGGCAGCCTTACATATTGCTGCCAATCCAGTTTTTCATGAGCGGACGAAGCATATTGAGAGGGATTGTCACTTCATTCGGGATGAAATTCAGGATGGTTCACTGGTTACTGCGCATCTTACCACTACGGAGCAACCAGCGGATATCTTTACTAAGGCTTTAGGTTCTCAACAATTTGCTTATTTATGGCGCAAGTTGGGCATGTATAATCTTCATGCTCCAACTTGAGGGGATTAGGGACCTATAATGTAAATATATTATACTTAGGCTAATATGATAATTTCCCTAAGTATGTTTAGGGTTTCATGTGTAGGATGTATATATACCTTTTCTCAATGTCAATATAACACAACTTTTCTCTTTATTCTCTTATCCCTTTGGCACCTAACCCATCATAGCTGACTCTCAAAGTCTCAACCTATTACGAAGCCTAGGAAGAAACTCTTTGTTCCTCCCTCACAAACACGAACCCAAAACGTTTAGACCCAAATGAAGACTACGTAGTACTTCAAAAGCAAGTCCCATGAAACCATCGGGTGGATAGTCTTGCTTTTCAGATGGGAGACCAACCTTGTAAATACAATTAATCCCATGAGCTCTCAAACGATGTTGATCTTTTGTAGTCGCAATGATCCTGCTCTCAATCCCAAACCATTAAGTTTGACCAGCCAAGGCATCTAGAACAACTTGTCTTGATCATCCAAATCATCAATAACAATAAATATAAGAAGTTTATGGTTCTTTAGCCCCTCTCCCATTGCACCTATATTATCCATCTTTATGTCTTTTTTTCCAAAAACCTCAGACAAGTAAGTTCCTTGCAAATGCAACTTCATATTATAGTCATCTGGGTTGACTTTATCGAACTTAACCTGATCAGGTTTCATTACATCATGTGATTACCTCTTAACCTTCGGAAATCATTAACTTGCTACTAATTTCTTCTTTCAAAAGCATCCTATATTTTCTTCGTCAACATTTGCTTTACTTACTAGAGAAGAAATGTACTTTATGTATTTGTATCGTTTGTTTTATTTTCGCGTATCAATGGGAAAATGGTTTTAACAAGCAGAAACCGTTCAAAAAAACGAATACAACTTTCTCAAAAATTTGCAAAAAGCTTGAGAAAACAAAGGAAGTAAAAATCTTGAAGAGCATTCGACATGTTAAGAGATGCTATAAGCTCCTTTCTCCATAAGTAACCTAAACGCGGAATCTCATAATATTTGGCTGCGCTATAGATTGACATAGCTTGTTGCTTTGCTTTCTCTGAAACTTAAATAAGCGTACATGGACAAAAAGAAAAAGTCACCCTTAAGAGATGGATTTTTAAACCAATAATTTATTAAGATCAGGAGTTATTCCATAAAACCACAGGGGAAGACAAAGAAGAATTCTCTGTTGGGTCATAAAACATCATCAGATGTTTAATTAAAAAGACTTAAGTAAAGCTCAAAACTAGATCAACACAACCAAACATAACCATTATTTATACTTGGAAACTCTTTTTCTACTTTCATCCCTTCATTTTTCATCATGATCCAATACCTTGTAAATGAGTGGAATCAGGCCTCGACGGTTTCACTATTAGCCTCGGCTTGCTTCTGCTTGTAGTTTTTAACCGCTGCCTTGATAGCGTCTTCTGCAAGCATACTACAAAGTAGTTTTACTGGTGGCAACGATAGATGCTTTGCAATTTGCCTGCAAAAAGTTACCACAAAGTCCATATATTTATCAAGATTTAAGGCATGAAATTACACATGTATAACCAATATATCATCATATCATTAAACACAAAAAGAAGGCACTTACGAGTTCTTTATGGTCAAGACTTCTTCCACGGATTATCCCTTGACCCATTCAGTAGCTAAGAAAAATAAGCAAACTTATATCAAACATCACAAAACTTATGAAATTAACATTGAGAGGAGAGCTTAAAATTGCTTTCAATAAGTCATACACTAATTTACAAAAATAAGCTGCTAAATAGTTAGAGACCTCCATAATACCTAAATATAATTTATAATGAGATTTCACGGATTAGAGAAACAAATCGATCACAAGATCACATAAGGAGGTAAATACCGACGGAGGAAGCTGCAATGGCGGAACCACAACCAAAGGTTTTGAATTTAGCATCAATGATTTGACCAGAACCATCAAACTTAACCTGAAGTTTCATTACATCTCCACATTGAGGAGCTCCGACCAATCCCGTACCAACGTTTGGATCACTCTTATCGAATGATCCAACGTTACGGGGATTATCATAATGGTCGACGACATTTGGATGGTACGATCGAGATACGACAGGGAACGGTGTGGAATTTCTTGAAGCGAGCCCTAGAAAAGTTCTTTTAGTTGTTTGCCTTAACATGATCGATCGTCTCTCTCTATTGAGCTTGCAGTGAAATTATAGGGCTTTCTCTCTAGATGATTAGTAATGTTTTTCTTAATTAAATGCGAAATTGTTAATTTGTTAGCTATAAATGTGTATTTAATTAAATGCGAAATGATGCGAAATCAATAACTATTTTTTTCTGTTTAATTAAAAAGCACACGTATCATTTAAAGAATTTTGTAATAAAAAAAAAATCAGTCGACAACGATTGAACCAGAATTGATTTTTAACCAAGCCCTATCATGAGGCCCAAATCCTAACCAAAGCCCATAGCCTAACCAGGTTTCGTAGTCCAATATAATTAACACAAATTTGAAAAAGAAAACAAAACCTCCAAAGAAATAACATAAGACCTAATGTTGGTGGCCATATACAGTATACATAGAGGTGTTTGACGGGCCGGCCCGCGTCCATCTGGGCCTACCCGCGATGGGCATTTGAGTTTGTGAGACCGTAACGGTCGGCCCGCTAGGACCGCGGGCAAAAATGATATGTCCAGGCCCGTCCCGCTAAGTCCAATGGGTAACCGGACCGACCCGCGGGCTTAGTTTTAATATTTTAAAAATAATTAAAAAAATAATTTTAATTTTTAAAATTTAAAATTAACAATCTTTCAATTTAAAAAAAACTTTTAGTATTAATTTTTTTGTAAATCTTATAATTTTAAACATTAAATTTCCTTATATGTTCGTATATTTCACATATATATTTTCAGAATTATGTAAAAGTATTTATTTATTTATATTATTTATTTATTTTTATTAAATATTTGTAGTACGCGGGCCGACCCGCAAATCCGCGGACAATAACCGCAAAAGCCCGCAAACCGCCTGGGCTTGTCCGCGAGGCCCGCTATTTTATGGACATGAAAAATGATGTTCAAGCCCGCCCCGCCGTGGGCTACTTGGACAAAGCCCGCGGACTATTGGCCCGCTTGACACCTCTAAGTATACATATATTTTTGGAAACAAAAAAAAATATTATAACCATATTTTCTAACTTTTAGTTTAATATATATAAAGCTAATATATTTACACTAGTTAGTTTATTTATTTATTTATTATAACCTCCTATATGGATAACAAGCCAAAGTTATTCGTCTTTTGGATGGTATGTATGAAATTTCACTATCAAAATTATCTTACTTACTATATCATAAAGGATAAATAATAGTATCAAAGTTAATTAATCGAGAGTAATACACTAATACAATTTTGCGTACTTAAATATATATCTGAATCCCATTAATTACAATTTCATATAATAAGATGTTATTCATTGAGTATCATTTCATATTTTTATGTTGTCAACTGTTTTTACACATTGAAACATTTTTCTATCTCGTTACAAATAGTTGACTATTTTGTAGAAAGAAAGAATGAAAAATGATACCCTTAAAAAAAAGAATGAAACAATAAAATTGTCATTTTCTTATTGGTGTCAGAGTGACTTATGCTAGAAAGTCAATTGACTTTATTTTAGGTGCTAGAGATCTTCTTTTAACACCAAAAGATGTTATTTTTTGCCAATTTCCCATAAATTATTCATCTTTTTGTTTTAATTTTAAAATTTTAAACAATAATTATCATTTTTTTTGAATTTTTCCTTATGTTTTGCTTATATTTTACTTATGTTTTGCTTATGTTTTTCATTCTATTTGTTTTTCTGTTTTTTTTTTGTTAATTTGTTTGTATTTGTTCATTTTCAGATTTTCCAATAGTGAAAACATTAATTTGTAGTAAGAAATTCATTACAAATTAGATATCATTAAATTCCTTCAAAACATTAACTTGATATTCTTAAAAGTTACTATACCATATTTTTGTCTTCTAAGAAATCTAGAAATCGGTTTTGTAAACAACAATTTTAGGATTCACAAATAAGCGATTTTGGTGCTGCCTGAAAAATACCTATATCCCATCTAGATAATCGTGTGCCAGCCATAGATGTTTTTGTTTACAATTTCACTGTCCCACTGTACGTAGTCAGTAAGACAGGTGAAATTTTCTGGCCAATATCCAATTGGCGCGAAGACGTTGCTATCGTTAATGCCGAGACCAACCATCGGTCTGAACTTTGTATCGTACATTTGTGTTTATTATATATTAAAAATAATTATATTGCAAAACATGATAAAATAAATTGGCTAACCTTCCAAATTTGAATAGTAAGTTCAGTTTGGGTGCCTCCGAAATTCGATGTCGGGGAGATAGCAGTACGACTGGTTGGTATAAAACCAGGGTACGAAGATTGTAAATCATGCAATGTTCAAAACCATAAGATATACAGAGTTCGACTCTACACTCTCAAACTAGCTTTTTGGCTACTCATTGAACAGACTTCTAAATCAGCTAACACTTTTGAAAGCAATAAAAAAAAAATTGATTAACAGTTCGTCGACGGGTTCTTAAGCATAAGCAAGTATCTTATAAACACATATGATATGATTAACACAAAAATGGGAAATCATATTATAAAAATTTTGCGAAATAATAAATCATGTTGTTTGCAATGTTTGAGTAAAATATAATATGCTACCGTGTATGTGATTGAGTATAAAAACTAGACATGTATCCATATTTTAAAAATCCGTGTCATTCTGGTATGAAAAACGACAATCTGTCTGAACACTAAATCTCCAAAAAATGGGTAGATGTCAACAAGGAGAAAAATGAGGTCATGAAAAGTTGGAACCACCAAGATGACTACGAAATTTTTTAAACTACCAACCTAGTTTAATGTGATCAAAAGGTTACCATCCCAAATTCAACTCCACTTAATGCATATTGTTAAAAAAAATATGAATAATGATCAATCAACTTATAGACGAAGACATTTTCAATAATGTACCAAGTATATATGAATATGATTATCGAAAATTAAAAGTTTCCGGAAAAACGTATATGAAGTTGCGAAACTTTATTATTAACACACGTGTCATCTATTCAAGTATCACCACAGTGCACGACTTACGCATTGACCACTTGTTGGTTCACTTAACTAACAGTAGCTTTCTTACTACAAAGATTTTACAACAAAGAAAGTGAGTCAGTGAGTGAATCTGATAGTAGGAAAACTCTTTAGGCTTGAGCCCCGAGTTCGAGCATTAAGGTGTGATTTCTCGCATCAGATCCCGGTCCCTTAAACTGAATCGGACCTGGCAACAAGAGAAGGAATGAGAGTTAGCATGAAAAACACTAAAGAACGAAATCATTTTTACTACTTTATGCAGAGACATGTGTGTATGTGAACTAACCAGGACTAATGTATCGATTCTTCAAAGCCCATTCTTCGCGCTGTGATGCAAATTTCTTAAACGGTGCACCTGAAATTTATCAGAAGCAATAAGTGTTAGTAAGATAAGCGGCCGGAGAATAATATCTGTTTTGAGCTTAAGACTTTTTTACCTTCAAGTTCAACCATAGCTTTCTTGATAACAGGCTTGAATTTACCTGCAACATAAAAACATAATGTTGGAAAAGAATATAATCGTATCAAAGACTTCGCAACATTATCGAATCATCATCTTTGTGGCTCTAATATTACCATGTCTTCTCTCAACATCCATCAACGCAGTCAGCGCGGTACCACCAACTGTCCACTCTTCAACAGGAGCAGCCAAATTTCCAACCTGCAAAACATTACAAAGGGGAATATAAATAATCATTATATCAAGAAACAGTTTGTGATATTATCAAGAAAGGAAGAAAAATTCTAAACCGATGAAATTAATCCAGTCTTTTCGCTCTGGAGAAGTGATCCAGCACCGTAACCTAATGCGTAGCAGTAAGTTGCATCAAAATTCGTAGGCAACCCACATCTTCCTTCATACCTAGAACACAATCAGAATAAGATTATGTTGAGGCTAATTAGTAATTAACAGATACATTTTAGGATAATTAGTTACCCAAAGAAGTGTGATTTCCCCATGAACTCACGTTTGTATGCACCCTCCTCCTTCTTTTTCTCTAGCTCGGTTTCAACCATTTGAATCAACATTTTCTCTGTCTCTATTTTAGCAACCTGAAGAGAAAATTAATATATAGATTCAAGATAAACCGGTTTTCAGTTCGGGTTTGCTTGAAGTTTTAGCCTTTTAATCTGTTTGAATCAGTTATTGGTTTAAAACCAGATGGAGGCAAGAAACAGACCTGGACATTTCCATGTGGATCTCTCTCAAGCATTAGTTGTTCTTGAATAGTTTGAGGAAGAAACTCAAAAATCTTTAAAGTCTCTTTTTTAAGATTCTTCTTCCATTGGCCTTCTTCGTCGACATTTCCTTCTGCTAAGACTTCATTCAGTTCGGAAATAAGCTCTTGGACCTATAAATAGATCACAGATGGACGTTGAAGAACACAATAATAGGGACAAGAATCGAATTGACCAGTGGAGATTTGAGAGTAACCATATACCTCAGGGATAAAATCAATGAGACCTTCAGGAACAAGAATGACACCGTAGTTATAACCATTTTCTCCTCGTTTACAGATCACATCAACAATGTAATCAGTAACATTTTTCAACGTAAGCTTCTTCTCGAAAACCTGCAAAAATGTTGGTGCTTTCTAGTTCTCAAACCATATTTAAAATATAGCAAACCGAAAACCACAAATGAAGCTTGAGTGACTCAAAGGTACCTCTTCTCCAATAATGGTAATGTTTGGATGGGTTTGCAAAGCACATTCAAGTGTAATATGAGAAGCAGCACGGCCCATAAGACGCACGACTATTGAGATAATCAACAGATGAAATGATATCGTAAATTTGTATCAAGATAATTCATTTTGCTAAGAGAAAATAAACTTACAGTGATAATATTTTCCCGTGGAACGTGCATCGATCATAACATTTCCAATCATTTCCGAGTATATCTGCATGAATAAAATCACAAAAAAGAAAATCATTGATAAGGTCTTCTATGAAAAGACAACTAAGTTATGCATACATTTTGAAGTTACTTACCTTGCAAGCAGTATCAAACCCGAAACTCGCGGGAACTTCTTTGCTCTTCAAATCACCATCGATTGTCTTGGGGCACCCAATAACCCGAGTTTTCATGTTTTTAGCTCTGAAAAGGCAATGCGTAACCAATCATTAAAACGCAAAACAGAGAGAAGTGAGTCTCATTCATCTTAAAACAATTTCAAAAAAAATACCTGAAGTGTTCAGCAAGGAGACAAGCATTAGTATTGGAGTCATCTCCACCAATAACCACAAGACCATCTAAGTCCATCTTTGTTACAGTCTCTTCAGCTTGCTGAAACTGCAAAATGTAGCAAACTGAATCTAACTAAGTCCATCGATAAAAGCATCGATGAATGCCACACACAACATTAAGAAAAACCTTTTTACCTGCTCTGGAGTTTCAATCTTGTCTCTTCCACTACATATCATATCAAATCCACCCTGTGAAAAGGCACAACAGAAAATCATTAAGAATAAACACAAAATGCAACTCTTTAATGCCTAGAGCTTCTATTTCCAACAATTCATTATCAAAGTTTGATTACTCCAACAAACCTACTGTCCTTAGAATTGAGTATCTAATCTGGTTTAACCAATCCTAAGCAAACTAAAACCAAAACCGAATCGAAAAGGAAATAAACCGATTAAGATAAACCGAAAGCAAACCGAACTAAAAGACAATAAACCGACTAAAAATAAACGGAATTATGGTCATTTCCATTCAGTTTCTATGTTTTCATGAAGGTAATCCAAAACCGAAACGCTAATAAACCAACGAAAACCGACAAAGGCACATCATATCAAACCTGGTTTCTATAAGGATACACAAACTCAGAAGTAAGCTCAATATATTTCCCCTTCATGATTCCAGCTGGACCGCCACGAAAACCAAACAGACTACTTCCTTTCGCATATTCTTGCAAGTAATCTATCGAACCAACAACAAATACAATCACAATTCAAGATTTCAAAAGCCTGAATAAATAAAAATTGCACAAAAAGAACAATGTCTAACCAAAAATTCCACAAATAACATTGTGTCCTCCAGGTGCTTGACCACCAGACAACACAACACCAATCTTAAGCTTTTGACTCGATGAAACTTCATCAGATTGGTTAGGAACCAATATAGCCGATGGTTGTCCAAATAATTTTGGGAATAATTTCTCAATTTCCTCTGCAACAACATCCAAAACCATGACCGATCATCAAAAATCAAACAAATTTGAACCGGTTTACTCTACCCTTATCCGGTTTAGTAAGATCAAACCCTAGAAATCGGACCTGGATGTCCGGCGGCGGAGCTCGGGGGACCATCGATGATCTTGAAGGGAGTTTTAAAGACGGAAGGAAGAGGAAGCGCGTGGTCAATACGACTCGCTTGGACTTCGCTGTATACAGAAGTCACACGGGTATTCGCCGGAGGATTACTCGAGATTCCGGCGATGTATTCTTCTCCGATTAAATCTAACTGTGCTGCCATTTGTTAGTTTTTGGATTCTTTTGTTTCTAAAAAAATCTCTGAATGTCAGAACTGTCTGTCAGAAACTGAGTTTGGATAAGTTTTCTTAAAGTAGGTAATGAAATTAAGTTTCCGAATATTCCAATATGCCAAATTTGACCCCCCTCTCTAAGCACTGCCTCCGCCACTGTCAACAGATGAAATGTTATAGTAAATTTGTTTCAGATAATTTATTTTGCTAAGAGTCGAGAAAATAAACTTACAGTGATAGTATTTTCCCGTGGAACGTGCATCGATCATAACATTTCCAATCATTTCTGAGTATATCTGCATGAATATAATCACAAAAAGGAAACTCACTGATAAGGTCTTCTATGAAAAGAAATCTTAGTTATTTTTATTGTTTATATGGTTTTTTATTGTTTTGATCTTGAAATTATAAAATTTCAATAACTGCAATGATGCAGCGCATCTCTACCTTTGGGCTTGTGTCGTGGGCTTTAAGCAACCGACACTTCTTGTTGAGTCAACGTTTAATTCTTTCTTGTTTTGTTACGGATATGAACATATCCTGTTTCTTAGGAGATTTGAGTCAGATTTTTAGTTGTTACGGATATTAACATATCCTGCTTCTTAGGAGATTTGGGTTTATCGAGTCGTCGTTGTAAAAGGCTATAAAACGCCTAGTCGAGTCTTTGTTAGAGTCAGTTTTGAGATTAATAAGAAAAAAACCAAAAAGAGGCAATCTTAATTGCCCAAAGAGCTTGTGTCAAGCTAGAGAGGAAGACTCTCACGTTCTTGTTTCGTTTTTGCTTCCGCCTCTGCATTAGTTGGTATCAGATTCATCTCGTTCTTGGAGGGAACTGATCTTTCTTGATCTCGACGATGGCTCCGCCTAACAGAAAGGTTGAAGGAGACGATGGCCGTGTCACCATAACGACACACGATTGGACAGAATTTCGTGATGCCCTTCTTGCATCACAAAACAGTTTGCAACAATCCCTTACCGCATCGTTGCGAACCATGACGGAGACGATTACACACCATCTTGGAGAACAGAATCGACAACGTGGAGGAGAAGGAGTTGGAGCAGAGATAAATCCTTTTGCTCCTGGGGTGAGACCTCAAGGAGAGATAGTGAATTTTCGACAACCTGATCATCGTTTCCCTGATACACGTTGGGAAGCAAGCTTCAAAGTGGAGATTCCAGAGTTTCATGGTGGGATTCGGGGAGATTTGCTCCTTGATTGGTTAGTAGCTGTGGAGGAAATTCTCGAATTCAAGAAGGTTCCAGAAGATCGCAGGGTTGCGTTGGTGGCAACAAGATTTCGCGGGCATGCCGCGTCGTGGTGGCAACAAACCAAAACCACCCGTGCTCGTACAGACAAAGAACCAATCCGTTCATGGGACAAGCTGAAGAAGAAATTGCGGGACACATTCCTTCCCCACAACTATGATAGGACGGTGTACAACAAGCTACAAAATCTAAAACAGGGCAGCCGCTCTGTTGATGAATATGCAGAAGAGTTTTATCTCTTGATTACACGCAATGTTATCTTTGATAGCCAATTGCAGCTGGTCTCTCGTTTTATTGGAGGGTTGCGAACCCAACTTCAGAACGCCATGTCGCAGTTCGATCCATCATCAGTGGCTGAAGCTCACCGGCGCGCTGCCTCTTTCGAGCAACAATTTCGCTCATCTTCATGGTCTGCACCAACCAGCAAGACACGGCTGCAAGATCAAAGCTCGCCTCCACAGACAAGTACAACACGGGAACAAGGAGCTGCGCCTGAAGCAGTGACCCGCGCACCACCGGAGGAACAGGTGCTGAGACGTTCCACCCGACCTAATGCCTTGAGGTGTTACGCGTGCGGAGAAGCAGGTCATCGCCAGACTGCGTGTCCAAACCAAATGCGACGGGGATTGATTGCAGAAGAATTCCCAGAGGGTAAAGAGCCGGTTTATGATTCATGTGGAGATGAAGAAGCGGTGGAAGAAAGCTCTCCTATTTTTCAAACCAACGGTGATACAGGAAGATTATTAGTGGCTCGTAGAACATGTTTGGCTCCTCCAAGCCGCACAGATACGTGGCTGCGAACTAACATTTTCAGGTCTACTTGCACAATTCAAGATCGCGTGTGTAGTTTCATTATCGACTCGGGCAGATCTCGCAACATAGTGTCCGAATATGTGGTGCGAAAATTGGGACTGCCGTATGAAGCTCATCCAGTACCATACTCGCTTGGTTGGATGCAAGACGGAGTGGATATTTGCATCACTCACCGTTCACTGGTCGCGTTCTCGATTGGTCCGCTTTACAAAGAACGTACATACTGTGATGTAGCCCCCATTGATGTCTGTCATCTTATCTTGGGCCGTCCTTGGGAGTTTGACCGTAAGATTTTCCACGATGGAGCAAAGAACACCTACAGCTTCACATGGGAAAGTCATCGCATTGTTCTCCTACCAACACCCAAGGTTCCTCAACTCGGAGGTAACACGTCACAGCCTGCAACTACTGCTCCAAATCCACCTACACCAACACAACCCACATAGTTACTGTGCTCTTTAGCAAGCTTTAACGAAGAGCTGAAATTAGAAGGAGTAGCATTTGCTCTATTCGTCTCCCCCATCTGCGCGATTTTACCACAAACCGCCTCCTTACTTGACAATGTCTTACAAGAGTTCCCGGATGTTTTTCCAACAAAACTACCAACGGGTCTTCCTCCTCTACGAGACATTCAGCATCAGATTGATTTAACTCCAGGAGCAGCACTACCAAACAGAGCACACTATAGAATGAGTCCACAAGAGCATGAAGAGCTTCGTCGACAAGTTGAGGACCTACTACGCAAAGGTCACATACGAGAGAGTCTTAGTCCTTACGCGGTTCCAGCGTTGTTAATCCCTAAGAAAGACGGGACTTGGAGGATGTGTGTTGATAGTCGCGCCATTAATAAAATCACGGTACGCTACAGATTTCCTATTCCGCGCCTCGACGATTTGTTGGATCAAATTGGGTCAGCAACTATGTTTTCGAAGATAGACCTTAAGAGTGGATACCATCAGATTCGCATTCGGCCAGGAGATGAATGGAAGACGGCGTTTAAGACTCGAGAGGGCTTGTTTGAATGGCTTGTAATACCGTTCGGTTTGTCAAACGCACCCAGTACGTTTATGCGTATTATGAACCAGGCGCTGCGGCCGTTTATCGAAAAATTTGTAGTGGTGTATTTTGATGATATCCTCATTTTTAGCTCATCACTGTCAACCCATGCTGCTCATTTGCGGGAAGTTTTAGGCGTGCTACGGCGAGAACAATTCTTTGCTGCGAAACAGAAATGTGAGTTTGGTGTTCCTAAGGTTTTATTTCTTGGCTATGTTGTGTCGGATCAAGGCTTATCCGTGGATAATTCGAAGATTGAAGCTGTTCGTTCTTGGCCCATTCCACGCACAGTAACAGATGGTCGAAGTTTTCATGGCCTAGCATCCTTTTACCGGTGTTTTATACCACATTTTAGCGCGATCATGGCACCTATTACCAGTTGTATGAAGGAGGGTAAATTTGAGTGGTCGCAGGAAGCTGACGTCGCATTCCGGCGGATTAAGGAGCTGTTAACTTCAGCCCCGATCTTGGTCCTACCCAATTTCTCTCTTCCATTTGAGCTGCACTGCGATGCGTCTAAGCTTGGCATTGGAGCTGTCTTGAGCCAACAAGGTCGTCCGGTCGCGTATTTTAGTGAGAAGCTTGCGGGTGCAAGAGGTCGTTATAGTACATACGATGTCGAATTTTATGCGGTAGTGCAGGCTATCAAACATTGGCGACATTACTTGGTGCATCGCGAGTTCGTGTTATTTACTGACCATGATGCACTACGTCACTTAGACAGCCAAGCTAAGGTTTCATCTCGTCACGCCTCATGGATTTCGTTTCTTCAACAGTTCACATTTTCAATACGACATCAAGCCGGGAAGACGAACCGCGTCGCTGACGCATTGAGTAGACGCCACGCTTTGCTATCATCAATGCATACGTCCGTCTCCGGGTTTTCCACGTTTGCTGATTTATACGAGTCTGACCCGTATTTTGCGAAATTCTTCCTGAGATCAAACAAGGAGCACATGACAAGTTCACTATACATGATGACTTCGTATTTTTTGGGTCACGGCTTTGTGTTCCAGCGTGTAGCCTCCGAATTAAATTTGTTAGTGAGCTACACAACGAGGGTTACGTTGGGAGAGATAGAACGCTGCAGCTAGTTTCGGCGTCATACTTTTGGCCTACTTTACGACGTGACGTCGAGCGTTTTGTGGAGAGGTGCCGTGTTTGTCAACAGAGCAAAGGAAAAGCGTCAAATGCAGGACTTTATTTACCTTTGCCCGTACCAACGCAGCCTTGGACTGACATTAGTATGGACTTTGTCTTAGGTCTTCCGCGCACTCAACGTGGCCATGACTCTATCTTTGTCATCGTGGACCGTTTCTCAAAGATGGCCCATTTTGTGCCGTGTAAAAAAACAACTGATGCGGTCAATGTGTCTACTCTTTTCTTTCGAGAAATTTATCGGCTGCATGGTCTTCCCGCCTCAATTGTGTCGGATCGAGATTCACGTTTTCTTAGTCACTTTTGGCGCTCGTTGTGGAAATTATTGCGCACAAGTCTTGACATGAGTACGGCATATCACCCGCAAACGGATGGCCAAACGGAAGTTACCAATCGTTCTCTCGGGGATTTACTACGTTGTCTTGTAGGAGACAACATCAAGAGTTGGGATTCTAAGCTAGGACAGGCTGAATTCGCATACAACCATGCGGTAAACCGGAGCGTGGGCATGAGTCCATTCAAGGTCATTTATGCTGTTGTACCCCGCTGCCCACTGGATTTAGCGCCATTACCAGACCACACTCGTATTCATGGACAAGCTTCAGATTTCGTGGAAGAACTCCAGGAGCTACATAAGCGCACTCATCAGAATTTGGAGACATCGGTAGCAAAGTATAAGGCGGCAGCCGATACCAAGAGATGGGAGGTGCTCTATGAGGCTGGCGACCTTGTGTGGATCGTCTTAACGAAGGAACGCATGCCCTTGCGTGAATATAACAAGCTGAAGTCACGTAAGATTGGGCCCGTGGAGATTGTGGAGAGAATTAACGAAAATGCTTATCGAGTTAAGTTGCCGCCACACCTCAACACGTCTGATGTGTTCAACGTCAAGTATATCTACCCGTTCCGTGGCGATAACGACACCGTGGATTCGTGGTCGAATCCTTCCCCACCGGGAGGGACCTGATGCAGCGCATCTCTACCTTTGGGCTTGTGTCGTGGGCTTTAAGCAACCGACACTTCTTGTTGAGTCAACGTTTAATTCTTTCTTGTTTTGTTACGGATATTAACATATCCTGCTTCTTAGGAGATTTGAGTCAGATTTTTAGTTGTTACGGATATTAACATATCCTGCTTCTTAGGAGATTTGGGTTTATCGAGTCGTCGTTATAAAAGGCTATAAAACGCCTAGTCGAGTCTTTGTTAGAGTCAGTTTTGAGATTAATAAGAAAAAAACCAAAAAGAGGCAATCTTAATTGCCCAAAGAGCTTGTGTCAAGCTAGAGAGGAGGACTCTCACGTTCTTGTTTCGTTTTTGCTTCCGCCTCTGCATTATGCAATTCATTCTAATTTGTAAACATTGAAATTTACAAAACTTGTTATATTTGTTTTGTGATATTGTATATCGATTAAAATGTTTATCTTGCATTTTCGTATCAATCGTATCATGGGGTTATTAGCCATCAAATTCGAATTAGACTGGAATTTTTTCTTCTAGTGTATAACAGTAGTATTGAAAAAAAAAAAAAAAAGCTTTTAACAATCTAAATTTGTAGTCGTCATCGTTGAGAAATGTCGAGAAACTAACGATATGAAACACACAAGAAATAGTTGATTCGGTGACAACTACGAAACGAACAAAAAAAAATGTAGTTGGTCGTTAGTGAGTGCGAATTGAACATGTGTTTTATGTTGAAGAACCGAATTTGAGAACGAAATGTGATTTTAATTTTCTTAGTTAATAGAAAGAACAAGTTTAGACCTAATGATAAAAATGGTAAGGAAGATGTAATAGACAATCATAAACCCTAGAAAGTATGGACCATAAGTGTAACATGTGGTTTAACTGTCAGCCTAACAAGTTGGTAATGTACTTACTGACTGTATTTAGATCAACTTTAATCAATTTTTCATTAATATTTTCGTGTTAAAAGTTTACTTTATAGTTTAACAGCTTAATTAAAAATCCATAACCAAAATAAAAAGTCATATGGATATTGTCACATGACAAAATCCCTAAAAGAACCAGTTCTATAATCAACAAATACATAAATCACCACAAAGTGATTCTATCCAGCTGTGTAACATCTTTTAGGGTTAATCTCCAATTATTGCATATACTCTTTTGATGAATATAACACGAGATAACTTGTTCTTAAAGACAAACTCCATTTGTAAAAACTCAATGCAAAAAAAAAAAAAAAAAAAAAAAACTCAATGCATAAAATGAGGTATATGTACAAGCCAGCAAGATAAAGCCTGTCTTGTCTCCAAGGCAACAATGTATACTTTGTATATAACAATTCTAACCAGTCTAAACTATTGAACTGTAAAGCCTGAGAAATTTGAAAATTGCATCATATAGGTTCTAGCGACATCATGTATGGCACATTACAACAATTAATATGTACTTTGAGAAAATGTAAAAAAAAAAACAGTTTTTGAAGTTAGAATTCATCAATAGCCACTTGAAAACCACAATTAGCTAGCCTTAGATATTTTTTACTCTCTATTTCTAATTGAGACAAACTAGTTAAAACAACATATTGATCACTTTTTCCACATTACCAAAAGCTTTACAAAATAAAGTTTAGATATGTATCTCATCTTCAACAACAACAAAACTAAAGTAGACATGAAGATGGTCTACATCACATCATAAATCAAATTAATCACCCCTATATTTCTAAAACACGACACAAATACATGCATTTAGCACACCTTTCTTAAAAAAAGAATTCAGTTATCCTCAATCATACCTAATCTTCTCTATTATATTCCAACTTTTGATTTGACATATATTTTTGAAGAACTACTAAATCTTTTCTTTTCAATATGTCTTATATATTAGTTAAGTGATAGTAGTCCATTTATCATTGTTTTATTATTGATTTGAAATAATGAATCAAATTTCACTAAACACACTCTTTTCTTTGATTTTGTTGAAAATTTATAAATTCGAAAAATTAAATAAAGTTCAATCTAAAACTTATATATCAAGTGTACAACTTTTCATTGCATTATGAACACAAATCTTAGATATTGATTTTAAAGAATATAAATAAATAAATACTAGTTTTACACAAATGAATAACGTCGAAAACTTGTAGTTAGTCTAAAATTTAAAAAGAATCTCTTTTATTGAGTTTTTAATTAAATTAAGATCAAGACATAATCATGATGAACAAGCCCCACATTTTCAATTTACACTTTTTTTTTTTTTTTGTGTGCAAATTTCAATTTACACTTAAATGATTAAATTAGAACTCTTTTCTCTTTGCGTTTACAAACATTACTCATCCACAAAACCTGATTATAATGTGATTAAACATTCAACATGAAACTCGTAAACAGAGCAGAAGAAAAAACAGAGAGAGAGAACAAGAAACTAAACAAACAATCACAACACCAAACCAGAGAACCAAGAATCTGCAGAGCTTTGTGTTGCGGTAACAAAGCAAGACTCAGCATTTCTTCTTGTTCTTCGGCAGAATCAGACAAGAGTTCAAGATTTTCAGACCAGCACGGTTCGCTCTCTAGCTTGGCACACTACATGGTTCAGGAGAAGCTAGAGCAGATGATCAGAGAGACACAAGAAGCCACACATCAAGAGAAGATAAGACAACAAAAGATGAGAAGAAGAAGAAGAAGAAGTGAGGGTAGCATCAGTAGCACTAAGTTCATAGTGATGATGGCGATGGAGAAATGTTCTTTTGATCCAAGAGAGGATTTTAGAGACTCCATGGTTGAGATGATTGTGGCAAACAAGATCAAAGAAGCAGATGAACTTAGAAGCCTCTTGGAGTACTATCTATCGATGAACCCTCGCGAATACCGGTCTGCCATTCTCGAGATCTTTTACGAGGTTTGTGCTGATCTGTTTCGTAGCTAAGAGAGAACAAAGACCAGTTGTTTCTTTTAAATGTTTGTGTAAGATACCCGGTTTGTAACAAACCGGTGTTATGGGTAATAAATAGACTGATTCAGATGCCATTTTATAAACCAAAATTAGAAACCTGAAATTACAAAAATCTGAAATGAGATACAATTTCGATTTCAATTTGGTAACCCCTTTGTTGACAACCTGATCTGAACCAAACTAATTTCAGTTTTAGTTGATCAGACATTTCACAAACTGTAAACATTCAACCAAACTGAACCAGAAAATCCGAAATGCCAGACATAGTGCACACTGCACACCCTCCTAGTTTACGATAAACACTTCATTTTAAAAAAAAAAACTTTAACAAATGTGAATCAATGTTTAGTCTTGGCTTAGCAAAATCATAACCGGCCGATCCAATTACGTATCTATGTATATATATTCCAAGAGTAACATCCATTATGCATTATAACTCTCCAACAGGTAAAAGAAGCTATATAACAGTTACAACAATATCAAACACAAGACACATAGTTCTATATATGTTACTATGGATGTCATGCGAGTAATTATGATTCAAGGGTTTAAGAGAGAGCTTCCTTCTTTGATGAGAACAAAGACGCTTCCGCCATCGCCTCTCGAGATCCGAAGGTCTTTGTCGAGATAAGTCGTGAGCAGCCACGACTGTGTGTTATCACTAGGCAGAGAAAACTTTAATGGTGGTTGGTTTGAAATGGTTCTAGCCACTGAAGAAGCAGTGTCTTGGACTGATGTAAGTATCCCTTTAATGGGGTTGAGATCGATTTTCTGACCAAGAATCTCCACGGATTCAGGGATTTCAATCGAATCCATTAGCTGAGGAGTTCCAATAACACCTTGCTCGAACTTAATCTACAACAAACAAAAACAATCCAAATAGATTATGTAAAATGGGCATTTACCATTTGTGGTTTAAGATGAAGACTGATGACTAACCTGGACGCGTTTAGGACTACGGATTTCGAACTTAGCGTTAGTGCTAAACGATGTAGTGGAAAATGGACCAGCAAACCGGACAGAGTTTTGGACGGTGAAGCTATCGGAATCAATGGTCTGTGAGATCTCATCAACTTTAACCAACGGTTCAATTCTTCGTGAGAGCAATGGGAACAGACCCACGAACGACGTGTACCTACACGAGATTACCACTGAAAAATAAGTTCTTGATACATAACAATAACATGACGCTATATCCAACTATAAGGGAAGACTCATACAACTATAAAAGCCAACACACAGAATCATAATCAAAATTCATAATTAAATCTTCTTGAAATCACAAGAATCTACAAAGAAAAGTTCTCGATTCATAATAAAATGTACTGAAATCATAAGAATTTTACCGTTTTCCCTAAGAAATAAAATCCATTATGTAAAAATTTCTTCTGATTATTGAACTAATTTGAATCATATGTTGCAAAGAGACGACACTACAACATGCTTCACTATCTAAGAGACGCATTCCCAACGGAATTAAACAGTTTTCACCGGAAAAAAAAAAAAGAAAAGAGAATCGGAGGAAAAATTACTTACGCGAGAATCCATTTGCCGTTGAGGAGAAACAGAGCTTCGTTAGGAGCTGGAGTAGGGTTCTTAGACTCAAGCTGCGTGATAAGCTCACTGATCTCAGCTCTCGTATCGCTCGATGCGCTTAAACCTCGATCTGTTCCGTACAACGAATCCGCTAGCGATCTCTTTAGCCTCTCCGTCTCCTCCGCGGATTCGATTGCTCCGTCTGCTACTTTCTCCGCCACCGATACTGGTGACGATGAGGATAATACTCTCTCAACTCCTTCTTGACCCCATTCGTCGTTGATGTCCGTGGCTCGGATTTTGAAATCTGGCCGATGAACAGAGATTCCAATCTCCGATCGCCGATTGACTGAGTTAATCGGCAGTAGAATCGGAGATTTTGACTGGGATTTAGTGTTTGATGAGCTTGGAACTAGGGTTTTGCAGGGGAATTGGCTGAACAATGGTACCGTCGCCATTTTTGTTTTTTTTTTCTTCACAAGCAAATGAAATCAGAGAAATAAACTCGAACCTCACACATTAGGAAATTCCAAGTCGCATTTTATAACCGTTGAGCTGGATAGTAACTGACGTTTATACCCTTCACTTATACTTTAGCTTATGGTCCATACATGTCAAAATATATTGGATAGAATAGGAATTTTAAATAAAACGAATGAACTAAGCTATGATTTTGACACGTGGGTGGTTAAAGATCATCGTTTGCGATTCGACATGGCCTCGTGTGAAGCGAGGATTATTTTCATTTTTCAGTGATTGACTTGAAATTGCCGACTTTGTGAAAAATCCATAAAATTTGTGGAAGAATTTTTTTCTTCAACAGGAAATATTTAAAATAATTTGGTTTAATTTGGATTTTGTCTCATATATTTTTTTTTTTGGTAGGGAGTTTTTGTCCCATTATTTGTGTGGGGGAGATTAGTTTGGGTTTTGTACGAGAGAAACGCCATGCAAATGGCATGATGGATCTAGAATCTTCGGACGTCTAGTACTCTTCTTTTTGGCCGATTTTTGTGATCTTCCATCGTCAGTATTGTGGACGGTCAAGATTCTCTCGAATGCAAAATATCTAAGCAGCGTTTCGAGCGTTCTGAGATCAACGAACGGCGATGATCCACAGTACAAGTTGTATGGACTAAATGGGCCTGTATAGTATATTTAGTGAGCCTTTTATTAACCAAAAAAGACCCATTTAAAATGCATAAAATAGTTTTGTATCCAATAGACCAATAGGTCCAAATACCTTCAAATTAGAGAATACCTAATTTTTATACTGATTTCTAGGGATGTCAAAATGGATTAATACCCATGGGTTATCCGAACCCGCCCATGATTTTAGTGGGTTTGGGTAGAATTTTTTTACCCATATATATATATATGGGTTTTAGTGGGTTACCCTATTAGGATTATGGGTTTAATGGGTATAACCCATTAGGGTCATGTGTTACCCATGGGTTTCATAACCAAAACTAAAAAGTAAAATTTATATAAATATATGTAAAATATCTTCTTTTCTTTACAAGTATCTTTTTTATTTGGTTTTATGGTTCTTTGGATTTGTGGTTTTAAGATTTTAGTATGCTTTTCTACTTTAATATCTAGATTTTTTAATTTATTATTTAAAAACTTTTGTTGGTTTACAATTTTATGTTATTTTTTTGGATTTTTATTATTTATATATTTTATTATACATATATGGATACTCATATAACCCATTAAGCCAACGGATTTCTACAATAATGGGTTTGAGTATGTAAATTCAACCCATATAAATATATGGGTCGGGTCAAACCCGTCCATTAAACACTCGAACCCATGTGGGTTTGGGTCGGATCGGGTTACCCATTTTGACACCCCTACTGATTTCCGAGTTTGGCGATTAAGCTCTTGAGTCTTTATATTGAAGATGTGTTAGCATCATCATTACTAATCTTTCAATGAAAAATAAAAATAGTAATCTTGAATTACTTTTGATCTCTAATAATGAATAATACTCCAATTTCCAATAAGAGAAACATAGACACCGTAATTAAATTTCATATGGAACACTCTCGTGAATCTCTAGGCACACCAGTACCTCACTGAAGTCACGTGCAACCGGACTAATATGAGCCGTAGGATTCAATAATCAATAAATGTCGAGGATCTCGATGATCGGACGGTTACAAAGGGGACACGATCCTCGATTAAGCCACACCTCTCGAGAACACACTCTGCAAAAAGTATGTCCACATGGGATAAACGCTGCTCCTTTCTTCCTTCCCATGCACACGCAACACACCGAATCATTTCCTCCTTTAACCGTCGACGACGACGCCGTTAATCTCTCCGTTTCCTTCCCTTCAACGACGACTCTCTCCGCCGTTTCTTCAAGCAATCTCATTAACGATACTCTTAACGGCGTTAAACTCCCTGATGCTTCCGTTTCCTCCGTTCGGTAATTTCTCTCCGCTGCTAAGGCCGTTGCGAGATTCATACCTTGATTTAACGGACCCGTTACATGATCCGACCCGGAAACGAATCGGGTTTCATATGGTTCGTCGCCTTCGCGAGTGTTACTACTGGTTAACCGGAGACCCCATGTTGGTCCACAACATCCGATTCGTTTGAATCCTAACCGTTCTTTAAGAGTTCGTTTCCTTCTCCTAGTTCGATCGACACCACCGTCCATTTGAAGTCGGAGCAAATCGAGGAATGTCGTTGACTGTGGCGTCTCCGGCTGGGCTTGACTAGTTTCAACAGCGAGTTGACTCATTGTCGACTCAGCTACAGACGTGTTAAAGAAGAGAGGACTACGAGAAGAATAAATAAGAATGGATTCTGAAAAAAAATTCCGCCATTGAAGAGAGAGTGTGAAGTGTTTTGGAATTCGTGTATCGCTGGGGTTTTAAAGCTTCTTTCGGTTACGTCCGAATTACGATTGGAGTCATTATTATATTATTCTCTTTAAATTGAATTTAAGACGAATTAATACTAAACGTTTCACTTTTAATTTAGATAAGATGACATTCTGTCTAATTAATTATTTATTTTTTTGCTATGATTCAGTTCTGATAAACTGATACTATGGAATTTGGCAATAAACTAAATAAATGATTCGAATTTTGGACAGTTCGTTTTTAGATTGAACATTACCAAGTTGGATACAGTTGAGTACAAAAAAAAAAATAAACACAGTACAAAAATTTCATGACAAACTTGGGTTCTACATGATAGCATTTAAAAGGATTAATTAAAATGAAGGAGTGTCGCGTATATTTCTACAACCTCCGATCCAATTTTTATTTATTTAATTTGGAATAAAAGTATTTATATTGAAAGATAAGAAAATCTCCCATTATCATCATCTAGCTTAAAAACTACAACTTGCATTCAACACATAAATACATTTTGTTTTTCAGTAATCAATAGTATTATTATACCTCTTGGAACATGAGAAGTTGAGTGGTGAATGCTTTAGATTGGAGATGTCAAAGAGCTCCATGAATCTTTGGTCTGAGATTCTAGCTTTCGCAGCTGCGAATCTTTGGTACTCATCGAAGATGGAGGACAAACACCATCTCTGAATCTTCCTCACACAACCTACAAGACATCCCGTCCGATGCTGCAACCGAGAGAGAGAGAGACAAGATATAAGGATTATTTCGATCATATTGTGACTAGGGTTAAGCAGAGGAGAGCTGTCTCAATTTACCTTGCCACTTTTGCAATGAATCAAGACAGGATGATTCTTTGTATCTGGTTAAAAAGGCAAGACGAAATCAAAGATTAGATTGGTTTTGTTGATCTAAACACTTCTCGATGAAAATAGGTTATAGAGAGACAAGAGAGGGTACCTAGAAGTACTTGTAATGCTTCTCGGATTACCTCGTCAGGGATATTAACAAAGGGTTCCTGAAAAAAAACACAGAGAACCATGACAAATTATCAGTCTCAACTCAAACACAGAATATGTTATTTATCATCTTTGCATAGCTCTATCTCTTCACATGCTAAACAAGAAGAATAAGTATGTGAAGTTATGATCCATTGTTATGAGATTCAGAAAGACTCATGATTCCACCAATATGGAGAGCTTTAGGGAGATGAGGAATTGAAACAACCAGATAACCACAGACTATGCAACAACTAAGAAGAGGCGATTCAAAGCTTCAAAAACATGAGAGCAAAAAATGCAAATAATAAGTATCACCAATCTCACCTTGCATCTTTCAATTCCAAATTGAAAAACTTGGATCCCATTTGATTTTGCAAATTCTCTGTTCACCTCTGGATATGCCTCAGGGCACAAATATCTAGATCAATACACATTCAAACAAAAATCAATAGATTAGAGACTATTCCTTTGACCATTTCACATTTCGTCACTCTATAAACCCTAGCTATTACATCTCCATATCAACAAAATTCTTCTTGTAAATAAGCGACAATTTGCGATTAAGACGACGAAGCTGACCTAATTAAGCATCAAAATTGAGTGAAAAATTACATGATGGATCGGAGTCGCAGAGACTGGAGAAAGCTGAAACTGACGGGTTCAGGGAAACCAGAACGGAAAATTCCATTATCGACCATAGCGAAGTTAAGAGGTGGCACGAAAAGCTCACCGCCACCTCTCTCCTCCATCGAGTTCTCCGATTGTGGTACGGTGTGAACATCGCCGGCGTAACTTTCTAACGTCATGATGGTATTACTATTGAGAGCTTTTTTTTCGATAATAAAAAAGTATTTTGGATAGAAAAATTGAGAAGTTTTTTTAATTGTTTGGGCCTTTGGGGAATGTTAAAAGGTATCTTGAAGAATATTCCTCTGATCCTCTCATCATTACCATGGAAAAGGGTCTGAATAATCAAAATTTTATTTGTTTGTTGTGTAATTAATACTAAGTGATTAGGTAGTCTTATTGGTTTGTGTCTTTGTGATTTCTTGTTGCTATGTCAATAAAATAAAATAAAAATTGTCAAGTAAAATTATTAAAAACTGGTCAAATTTACAAAAATACAACTTGAGATTTTATTTAATTAATGAAGAATTTGTTATATATCATAATGCTGCATTATTAATGCAGTCGTGAAATCTTCTTAGTGAAAAGACGTTGAATTTTTTGGAGCGGGTTAGGCTTCTCAGTTAAAATCTCATTTATTTATCATTATAAAACAAAAATAATCGTTTGTACATAAAGTCATGAAGTCGAATAATAGATACAAACATATTACAAAGTTATTCTACAAAATCTTTCAGTGTCAGCTGCTTAAATTTTTCATAGTCTAAACGAACAAAAGAAAGGTAAATATAACGGAAAATTAAATGCAATCAAACAGTAAAAATTAAATGTACTCAGATCTTGAAGAAATTATGTTAGAGCTAGTTAGTTAGTTTAGTCAGTGTGCGGAGTAAGTATGTTAATATCTGAATCTAAACCAAAAAAAAAATTGTTATGTCGCAATAAATTACTAATGTTATAAAAGAGTATTTGATTTTATAGTGGATATATAAATATTTAATGATGAGAAAATTATACCCGCAGAAGGATCGGGATACTGAATAATAAAGAGATGAGAGGGAGAGGGATTATTGCTTCTCTTATAATTGAAGTAATGCGAGTTGTGTTTTTACATCGAACGTTCATCGTTCTATTTATAGAGAAAATTATAAGTTACTATGCATGCATAGTGACGGTGGGCTCCACATCAAAATTATAAACAACACACGGCTGCGCCTAATGTTTGATTTGAAGCGCATGATATATTTGACTTTCTTAACACTTCCCCTTGGAGATCAGTGTCACTCTGTTTCTTGCGTAATATCTTCTGTTGCTTCGTTAAAAACCTTTCTAGGAAAACCCGGTGGGAAAAACCATAGTAGGTAAAAAGAGTGCAACCGCGCAAGCTCCCCCTCGAATGATCAGGATCATAACTTACAAGTCTTGTTGACGACGCATTCCAATGTTATGAACATGTTTCCTAAATATAGAGGTGGGTAATGATTTCGTGAAGAGATCCGCAGAATTCTCGGATGATCGGACATATTTTACTTCAATGTCTTTATTCTTCATGAGCTTTTGGGTGTATGAAAAGAACTTCGGAGGGATATGTTTGGTTCTATCGCTTTTGATATATCCTTCCTTTGTCTGAGCAACACTTGCAGCATTGTCTTCATATAAGATAGTTGGCTCTGTATTCAGACTAATTCCACTACTGGTTTGAATATGTCGACTTATTGATCTTAGCCATACGCATTCTCTACTCGCTTCATGTAGTGCGATGATTTCAGCATGATTCGAAGAAGTAGCTACAAGCGTCTGCTTCTGAGAACGCCATGATATAGCAGTACCTCCAATCGTGAATACGTATCCTGTTTGGGATCGAGCTTTGTGTGGATCTGATAAATATCCTGCATCTGCAAAACCAATCATTTGACCATTTATATTTTTAGGATAAAATAACCCTAAATCAATAGTCCCTTGAAGATAACGAAAGACATGTTTAATCCCATTCCAATGTCTTCGTGTAGGGGATGAACTAAATCTAGCCAAAAGATTGACTGAAAATGATATATCAGGTCGGGTGCAATTTGCAAGATACATAAGAGCTCCAATTGCACTTAAATACGGTACTTCAGGACCGAGTATCTCTTCATTCTCTCCAGGTGGTCTGAATGGATCACTCTCAACATTAAGTGATCTAACGACCATTGGAGTACTGAGAGGAGTTGCCTTATTATCCATATTAAAGCGTTTTAACACTCTTTTGGTGTATGTGGATTGATGTACAAATATACCCTTTTGAGTATGTTCAATTTGTAGGCCAAGACAAAATTTTGTTTGTCCGAGATCTTTCATCTCAAATTCCCCTTTTAAATAGTTTGTTGCTTTCTGTATTTCAGCTTGAGTCCCGATTATGTTTAGATCATCAACATATACCGCGATTATCACAAATCCGGAATTTGTTTTCTTTATGAAAACACATGGGCATATAGGATCGTTCACATATCCTTCTTTCGTTAAGTGCTCACTGAGACGATTATACCACATTCGTCCAGATTGCTTTAACCCATATAATGATCTCTGCAACTTTATTGCACACAACTCTTTGGGTTTAGATTTTAATGCTTTTGGCATATTAAACCCATCGAGAACTCTCATATAGATATCTGTATCTAATGATCCATATAAATATGCTGTAACGACATCCATGAGACGCATCTCTAGATTTTCGCCAGCTGCTAGACTCATCAGAAATCTAAACGTTATAGCATCCATAACAGGTGAATATGTTTCCTCATAATCAATCCTGGGTCTTTGAGAAAATCCTTGAGCTACGAGGCGAGCCTTGTATCTCGTAATTTCATTTTTCTCATTTCGTTTTCTAACGAAAACCCATTTGTATCCAACCGGTCTCACATCTTCAGGTGTGAGTACAATAGGTCCGAATACATTTCGCTTATTTAGCGAATCAAGTTCGACTTGTATTGCATCTTTCCATTTTATCCAGTCATGTCTCTTTTGACATTCATATACAGACTTTGGTTCTGGATCCTCGTTTTCCTCATCAATTTCCTTTGACAAAAGGTATGAGAAAACGTCATTAATATCATCCATTTTATTTCGATCCCAGATCTTTCCATTATGTATATAGTTGATAGAAATCTCATGATTTCCTTCAGGCTCATGATGCTCATCATTGTCATTAGACTCATGATTCGTTTCTTCCAAAATGCTTTCTGCTATTTTGGGAATATCATGCTTTTCAACTTCCTTTCGTTTTCTAGGATTTTTATCCTTAGCACCAACTGGTCTACCACGTTTCAAGCGTGTTTTAGACTCACGTGTATCATCTGCTCCTCCACGTTTTTGTGGTATTTCAATTCGAGCAGGAACATTTGCAGCTGGTATATATGATTTAGTTACCGTTTTGGTATCTGCAAAAGTATCGGGAAGTTGATTTGCTATACTTTGCAAATGCACAATTCGTCGAACTTCTATTTCTGACTGTTTTGTAGGAGGATCAAGGTGTAACAGGGATGGTACACACCATTTGATTTCTTTTCCTACTTGCTTATTTTCTCCCCTAGAACCGGAAATACTTTCTCATCAAAGTGACAATCGGCAAATCGTGCCGTAAAGACATCACCAGTCTGCGGTTCTAGGTATCTTATAATTGATGGAGAATCTCAGCCAATATATATTCCCAACCTTCTTTGTGGTCCCATCTTTGTACGTTGTGGTGGTGCTATAGGCACATACACCGCACAACCAAAAATTCTTAGATGAGATATATTTGGTTCTCGACCAAATGCTAACTGTAGTGGGGAGTATTTATGGTATGCACTTGGTCTTATCCGAATAAGTGCTTCTGCATGCAAAATGGCATGTCCCCATACAGAGGTTGGAAGTTTTGATCTCATGATCAATGGTCTTGCAATCAATTGCAGACGTTTAATTAATGATTCCGCCAAGCCATTTTGTGTATGAACATGAGCTACAGGATGTTCAACTTCAATTCCTGTTACCATACAATAATCATTGAATGCTTGGGATGTGAATTCACCAGCGTTGTCTAGTCTAACCCTCTTAATGGAATAATCAGAGAACTGAGCTCTTAATTTGATTATCTGAGTTATAAATCTCGCAAATGCCAAATTTCGAGATGACAATAGACAAACATGTGACCATCTGCTAGATGCGTCAATCATTACCATAAAATAGTGGAATGGTCCACATGGTGGATGTATCGGTCCACAAATATCGCCTTGAATTCGTTCAAGGAACTTTGGTGATTCTTTATCAATTTTGGTTGGCGATGGCCTTATGATCAACTTTCCAAGAGAACTCGCTGCACATGTCATTTTATTTCCATGTTTCAACTCATGATTTTTCAATGAGTGACCATGTGAGCTCTCTATGATTTTTCGCATCATTGTGGTGCCTGGGTGACCAAGGCGATCATGCCATAGTACAAAATCTTCTGGATTTCTTTTGATCACAAGGTTTGACTCTATGGCATCTATATAAGTATGATGCAAACCAGAAGGAAGTTCTGGAAATCTTTCCAAGATATGTCTTTTTCCAGATTTATTAGAAGTTATATACAAATACTTCTTTCCATCCTCAGTTGCAGACTGAGTTTCATATCCTTGAAGGTATATGTCTTTGAAACTCAACAAATTCCTCTTAGAATTCGGAGAATATAAGACATTATTTATGGAAAACTTTGTTCCATTAGGCAATTTCTACCGTGGATGAGAATGTAAATTCAAATTGTATGAGCAAAACTAAACAACAAAGCGAAGTAAGACACATACCTTTTAGAAACAAGAGGATGGCACCTTAGAGCTTGTTAGAGCTCTATTTGCGATGGACCTGAAATAAGCAAAACAATGTCTCAGAGGTACCACATTATATATGTTATTCTGATTTGAGAACATAAACAAAGCTGTCTCAGAGCTCTATTGACACCGACTTATCATGCATTCTTCCACAAGTCTATTTCTTGCTCTGTAAGAGATTTTTCTTTAAAGTTTCATCTCTCATCCATTTCAGAGCCCCATTCGCGCTGGCTTTGAAATAAGAAAACCATCATCTGTCATTATATATGTTTTCTTTTATTATGAATCTTGACTGTGAAATAGAACATCTCAGGTAGAATTCTATCTAAGTAAACGTTTTACCATTTCAAAGTAATAAATACAGAAAAAGGAAACAGAAAGAAAATTGTAGTTAAAAAAGCCTAGGAAAAATAATGAGCTAGCAAAAGTAGAAGCATAATTTCATCCATGCTAAAACCTATGCCAAAGAAAGCAAAGGAAGAAGAAAAGAATACCTCCACTGTATTTGTTTGCTCTTCAACAGGTATAATGGCGGAACCATCAACTTCATCTGGAACTCCTTCTGCCCCTATGGGACCATGTTGTTCTATCGCAAGAGGAACGAGCAGGTCACTTAGCAGATCAGGTGATGGAGTTTGTGGATCTATATTACTTAAAGTTCCATTGGGATGTGAGACAGATCGAGCCACTGACTCGGGTTCCTGCTAGACATGTAAGA